AAAGCTGTCCTGAATCAATAGGCCCGCAAGACCGTATCAGCTTAGACCTCTGGTAGGACCGAGGTCCTAGGAAGCTTACGTGGCTGCCCCAGAGAAATATCTGTACTGAGTTGAGTAAAGTTTCTGGTACTAAGTGGTCATTGTAAGGCTTTTCGAAACCGCAGCGGTTGACCTCGGGGCCGAATCGACCGGTACAGACACCATGACGATGACACAATGTTCTCCTGCTAGCGCCATCAATGTTCTCCTACTAGCGCCATCAATGTTCTCCTACTAGCGCCATCAATGTTCTCCTGCTAGCGCCATCAATGTTCTCCTACTAGCGCCATCAATGTTCTCCTACTAGCGCCATCAATGTTCTCCTGCTAGCGCCATCAATGTTCTCCTACTAGCGCCATCAATGTTCTCCTGCTAGCGCCATCAATGTTCTCCTGCTAGCGCCATCAATGTTCTCCTGCTAGCGCCATCAATGTTCTCCTACTAGCGCCATCAATGTTCTCCTACTAGCGCCATCAATGTTCTCCTACTAGCGCCAGTATGTGCCAATCAGCAATGTCAACAATTCTATCTCTGTACCAACCGCAGAGCTCAAACAATTCACAGTAAACTTATAAGAACACAAACCAGCTTTGCTACAACGCCTCTACCTCTATCTCACTATGTCCATAAAACGCCGTTCTGTACGTCAGGACAAACTCCATCCGGCAAACGATTCTTCGTCGCCTTGAGTTTTTCCTGCAAGACCATCGCATCAGAGCAAGATAAGAATCTCTAGCAACTGTCACCTGATTAAGGTGAAGCTCAACTGCTTCTTGGACCTGCTTTGTAAGCTGCACGTTCGAGTTTCTTCTGATCGAACTTTGGCCCCCCTGCTCCGTCAGCAACATCACCATCCACTCGCTCGCACCATCTCCATCCCCTCACCTCACTCCCACGGCGACCCTGTGCGGCGATCGGGTTGAAGCCTGCTGCTGTCGCGGCATCGTTTCTCGACTTTCCGGTCTTGTCTGTACAAGGCTGCAGTACTTCATAGCGCGCAATGCGCTGGTCTGACGTGCGGGTCTCGGCGAGCGAAGTCTTGAGGGCGTTAGAGGGCGACCTGGAAGTCTCCGGCGGCTCGTCCATGAAGCGAATCTTCTTCTTCTCCAGCGGCGACGGCAGGCTCAAGCTCTGCGGCGAGGCCGGCATCGGCGATCGCAGAGCTGACTTGTGACTCCGACCGGAACCGGCTTGACGGTCGCTGGAAGCCTCTTCGTGCAAGCTCACGTCTGAGGACAGACCCCGTCAGACACATTGAACAAGATCGCTGCTGGCGCTGACAACCTGTGTCTAGTCGGATGGTGAGCTGAGGCTTCTTCTTCCTCGCCTTCTTCTTGTCCTCACTCTTCTGCAAGCACGTCACATGCCCCAGCCATGCCCAGCTGTAGAAGCGCTACCAGGACCGGTCTGAAAGCTCCAGATACACTCTCCAGCAAAGAGCTCATCGCGGTGTGCTGCATGCAAGCGGCTCGTCAGTCGCTCAGGCCTACACTCGCCCATGCAAGTCGTCATCGCGTCACCAGGTAGTCGCCGACGTCAGCTCCAGGCGCTGTTGTCTGCTTGCCAGCTGCGCTTGTGCCCGCCTGAGCCTGGCATGCATGGATGAGGAGGAGGCGCGAGTGGGCAGCAGCAGCTACCTGAGAGTCGCCTCCAAGCCCAATCATCCCTTGGTGCTCGTGACGCCCAGTGAGACCTGCGACCCCGTCACAATACTCGCAGACCCTCAGCATCAACCGTCTGTCTGTGCGCTGCCATGGACAGGCCAGGCAAGGACACCACTCCATACCCTACCCCATGACAGACATCACTCTATCAGCACACTACGCTACACTACTCCATACCCCACTCTATCAGCACACTACGCTACACTACTCCATACCCCACTCTATCAGCACACTACGCTACACTACTCCATACCCCTCCATGACAGACATCACTCTATCAGCACACTACGCTACACTACTCCATACCCCTCCATGACAGACATCACTCTATCAGCACACTACGCTACACTACTCCATACCCCTCCATGACAGACATCACTCTATCAGCACACTACGCTACACTACTCCATACCACTCCATGACAGACATCACTCTATCAGCACACTACGCTACACTACTCCATACCCCTCCATGACAGACATCACTCTATCAGCACACTACGCTACACTACTCCATACCCCTCCATGACAGACATCACTCTATCAGCACACTACGCTACACTACTCCATACCCCTCCATGACAGACATCACTCTATCAGCACACTACGCTACACTACTCCATACCACTCCATGACAGACATCACTCTATCAGCACACTACGCTACACTACTCCATACCCCTCCATGACAGACATCACGCTGTAGCACGCTACGCTTGTAGTAGTGCAGGAGGAGGAGGAGGCAGGGATCTGAAAGTTGCTTAGGGGGCTAGGACCTTGTAGGGCCGGAGGTACTGGAAGTTACCTAGATGAGTTCCTATGACACCTCGTAGGCTTCCCTAGGACCTGAGCTCGATATTAACATCCGACGGTCCTCCCCCATGTTGAGTAAAAGCATTTGTACCAGGTCACGGACCCACCGGAACATTAGTCATTACCACACACCGGAACATTAGGACCGACTGCTGCTGCTTGATATGCAGGGTAAGCGAAACCACCCTTGTTGGCACAGTGAGCTTGTTTCATAGCACAGTAAGCTTGTTGCATAGCACAGTGAGCTTGTTTCATAGCACAGTGAGCTTGTTTCACAGCACAGTGAGCTTGTTTCATAGCACAGTGAGCTTGTTTCATAGCACAGTGAGTTTGTTGCATAGCACAGTAAGCTTGTTGCATAGCACAGTAAGCTTGTTGCATAGCACAGTAAGCTTGTTGCATAGCACAGTGATCTGTGAGCTTGTTGCACAGCACAGTAAGCTTGTTGCATAGCACAGTGAGCTTGTTGCATAGCACAGTAAGCTTGTTGCATAGCACAGTGAGCTTGTTGGAAGTGAAACAGCACAGTAAGCTTGTTGCAAGTAGTGAAATAGCACAGTGAGCTTGTTGGAAGTGAAACAGCACAGTGAGCTTGTTGGAAGTGAAACAGCACAGTGAGCTTGTTGCTGTAAGTAGTGAAATAGCACAGTGAGATTGTTGCAAGTGGAACAGCACAGTGAGCTCGTTGCAAGTGGAATAGCACAGTAAGCTCGTTGCAAGTGAAATAGCACAGTGAGCTTGTTGGAAGTGAAACAGCACAGTAAGCTTGTTGCAAGTAGTGAAATAGCACAGTGAGCTTGTTGCAATTGAAATAGCACAGTGAGCTTGTTGCAAGTGGAATAGCACAGTGAGCTTGTTGCAAGTAGTGAAATAGCACAGTGAGCTTGTTGGAAGTGGAATAGCACAGTGAGCTTGTTGCAAGTGAAATAGCGCAGTGAGCTTGTTGGAAGTGAAACAGCACAGTGAGCTTGTTGGAAGTGAAACAGCACAGTGAAAAACTACAAAAGTGTATATATTAGTAGAGCTATGGGATCTAGGTAGGATTCAATGTATAACACAAGGATATTTCCTTCTTGGAATCCTCCCAAAGGACTATAAGTGCGGACTACATCTTACACCTCTCAAATACTCCGACGCTCCGACCCCGCGCTTTCAACGTGACTAATATTGTCCTCGTACTGATTTTTAACTTAACTTTGAGTAAAGATATCTCGGCTGCTGCGGAGCGCACGGACACCCTGAAAAATGGATGGATGGAAGGATACTGATATCCTCGTACTGATTTTTAACTTAACTTTGAGTAAAGATATCTCGTGGATGGAAGGATACTGATATCCTCGTACTGATTTTTAACTTAACTTTGAGTAAAGATATCTCGTGGATGGAAGGATACTGATATCCTCGTACTGATTTTTAACTTAACTTTGAGTAAAGATATCTCGTGGATGGAAGGATACTGATATCCTCGTACTGATTTTTAACTTAACTTTGAGTAAAGACTAATAAGACTAAGAAGACTCCCGCCCTCCGATGCTCCGACTCCCGGATGGAGTGATCGCACTAACGACTGAGCGGCCTCTGACGCGGGGTCGCGTGCCTCCGAACGGCTCGGCGGACTGTCAGGTGATGAGTGATGATGCTTTTGAAGCCTGGAGCAAGTAGGAGTAGTTGATATGTTCGTCCTTTAGTTTCTGTGAGATATCCGGATGTTGATGAAGGGCGTGAGATGTTGGCTCAGTTGGCTCAGTTGGCTCAGTTGGCTCAGTTGGCTCAGTTGGCTCAGTTGGCTCAGTTGGCTCAGTTGGCTCGGTTGGCTCAGTTGGCTCAGTTGGCTCAGTTGGCTCGGTTGGCTCAGTTGGCTCAGTTGGCTCAGTTGGCTCAGTTGGCTCAGTTGGCTCGGTTGGCTCAGTTGGCTCAGTTGGCTCAGTTGGCTCAGTTGGCTCAGTTGGCTCAGTTGGCTCAGTTGGCTCAGTTGGCTCGATTCAAAGGCCTTTGCGCCTGTTGATGAATATCGATTAAGAGCTCACCTGTTTTTGCAGTAAAAGGGAACAATGCAGTTTTAGAATTGAAAGAGCATCATATCAGTTTTTGTCGCGGGGAATGCGAAGAATGCGGTATGACCTGCACTGGAGTTCCGATGTGGATGAAATCAGAAAGCTGCGAGAGAGTCAAGCACAGGGAATAAAGCTGTTGCACGATACAGTGATGAATGTTTCAACGTCGCTACCGCAAGACGTTTACGAGCTGATCATCACAAACTTTGAGGTGAACTGAGCCATTCCACTAGCTCAACGACATTTGGAAAAGCTGCGGGAGGATACCATGACATCCATGATGAATAGAAGATTCAGTTAAATCATCCAAGGACTTCTGACGTCAAGACTCATGGTCGTGAAGAACTGACAGGGAGAGGGGATGGAGGAACTGACAGGGAGAGGGGGTGGAGGAACTGACAGGGAGAGGGGATGGAGGAACTGACAGGGAGAGGGGGTGGAGGAACTGACAGGGAGAGGGGGTGGAGGAACTGACAGGGAGAGGGGATGGAGGAACTGACAGGGAGAGGGGGTGGAGGAACTGACAGGGAGAGGGGATGGAGGAACTGACAGGGAGAGGGGGTGGAGGAACTCCATGCTGATCAGGATGAAGACGGCGGCCAGAATCTGCTCGAAGCATATCATGATCGTGGTCGCCCATGCCGGCTCCGTGGGCATGCTATAAGACACGGCATTCATCATGAGGATCCACGTGAGGTTCAGGTTTGTGTTTGTGTTTGTGTTTAGGTTCTTTAGCCTAAAGACGCGGTTGATGTCATGCAGCATCCCCTGAAGAACACATATCGCGCTCTCCCACATACATAGCAAGTCTATGCCCTTCACACTCGCCATCTGCACGAGCTGCTCGCATAAGAGCCTCTGCGCCTCCGCGTCATTGTGCAGGGCCTTGCTGGCAGCCACCAGCTTGCTCTGGATCGGGGCCTCCGAGCTCGACGCCTGCTCATTCACGCGGTGCATGATGAGGTTGACGGTGGAGCGCACGGCCGAGAGCTCCTTCGTCTTCAGCGCCATGTCCACGATCGCCTCGTACATCCTGAGGGTGCCACGGTGCTTCCCTATGGTCCTCAGGTAGGCGTCCTTGATCTCCACCGTGGAGGCATCCCTCTGCTCCTCCACATGGGTCATCATGTACATCACCCATCTGGATTCGGTGGGCTTCATGCCCTCGAGGCACGACAGCGAGCAGCGCATATCCGCAATCTCCGAGCGGAAGGGATTGGAGAGGTCCAGGCGGGGATCGCAGATGTCGCGGAACGCTTCGTCTTCGTGGAGAGCTTGGACCATGCCGAACAGTCGGAGGTGAGCCTCTCGGACATGCTCTCCTGCCGGATCGCGCTCTCCACCTCCTGCAGCGATTCCTCCATCTGCTCCCTCGAGTATAGCTGAAATGTAATCGATCTCTTCGTCTCCTCCTGAGTCTGATCCATCTTGCTCAACGGTGTCATCTGTGTCTATGAAGCTCACGACCGTCTTAATACTCTCGCGGTGATTGTCGGATATGGCCTTGCGGACAAGATATGCGGTGTCCGGGTTTCTGAAGAAGGGTGTCTCGTTCGCAATGTCATGCCACCACCTCCTTATGATCACATGGATGAACCTGTAGATGTCGTCGAAATTGTCGTGTTTGCACTCTGCGATAGCCTGCTTCAGGTGCGGGAGGAGGATCGCCCTGTAGTAGTTCGTGAAGGTCTCCTTCGACCGTCTCCGATTGGTTCAGGCAGCGGATCAGCCTCCGCATGTTCCTTAGGTCGGGGCTCGTGATCTCCCCGGGTGCCATCGAGAAGAATATCAGGCGATCGATGAGCAGGAACGTCCTGTTCTCGACGGCCCTGTTGGCGCACTCGTTGGTGGGGACGGACCTGCGGATCCAGTTGATGCAGGCCATGCAGGCCGTGAGCCGCTCGTTCTCGTTCTTGGCGTGCTGGCAGATGTTGTGTATTGTTGAGCATCGCTCTGAAGGTCCTCACCGTCTTGCTCCTCCGATCTTGGTGGGAGTGGAGGAGGATCCCGCAGAGTATGCACACGTCGTGGTTCGGGAGCGTGTGACCCGTGATCAGTGAGATGAGTCTGTCACTGACACTGGCCCGTATGCATATGAACGTCACGGGCCATGAGTACTGCATCTACACCAGGACCGATATCGCCGGCATGTGTGTGGAGGGGGGGAGGTCGGTGATGCACTTCTTCCTCTGCAGCAACAACAAGGGTGGTTTCTTCCGTTCTCCCTCCCATCTTCCTTGCTTCTTCCTCGACAACGGCGTGCGTCAGATCAAGCTCCCAGACATCGAGGCGACAGCTCTGGCGAGGTTTTCGAGATTTCACGGGGATAGGATGGAGAAATACCTCTCTGTGGCACTCTGTTTCTACGGGAGCGCTGTGAATGGTGAGGGGGAGAGGGTCTTCCAGTCAGGGAGGTTGGGTGAGGCCTCAGCAGAGAAGATCATGTTCATGCTTGGGAGCGTGATGCTGAAGTCGACTGGCTACTCTATGGGGAATGACGTGCAAGGAGAGAGTCTCAGAGTTGTTAGCAAGCTGACAACCTTCCTTGTGAGGTCCCGCTTCTTCGTTGACAAGCTCGAGACCGTCTATGCAACGCCAATGAGCGATGTCAGGCTGACCAATTTTCTTTCGATTTTCTTGTGTAATGAAGCCGCTTGGACTGCTCAGGATGTGCATAATGAGGATTCGATCGAATCAGCTCGGCTATGCCCTTGCGAGCTTCTCCTCGGGTAGCGGGGATACCGTCACGGCCTATGACATCGTCGTGCTCGCCATGTGGAAGACCTTGTCTGGGTTCATGCTCATGTGTGAGGCGGGTAACTTTAACGATTCCTACATCGTTAAGGAAGATGCCGTCATGCGTGTGAGTGCCATCGCCCGCCGTGTGAGGGTTGGGATGCTTGCTGCCGCCCTCCAGTGCAAGCCGGACGACGTTGCTGTGAGGCTTTTGCAGCTCATTCGATGTGCTGTGAATCATGCGATGTACTTCCTGATGAATTTTGTCTACACCTACATCGAGGATTCCGCGAAGAAGCACGATCGGTTCAGCGTGATGCTCAAGCTCGCCCCCTTCATGAGGGTGCACAGGGTGGATTACGTGATGATGTATGGGGATTCGCTGAACTGCATGAAGACCTTCTATATTCACTGCCTTGTTGACTTCGTGACGATTTTATAAGATATGGCTAGAATAACCAACGATTTTATAAGATATGGCTAGAATAACCAACAAAACCAGGTGACACCAGGATCCTGGAGGTGGCTGCTAGTTTTCATAGCATCTTGAATTGCTTCAGGTGATCAATGGCCACTTGAAAATCAGTTCAATTATGGTGTCACCACCTGTGTCATCACTTGCATTCGAAGACCATCACTTCTCGTGCTCATTGCCAGTATCAAGTTCTACCTGTAAGGAATCTTCATCTTCTGAGGAAGGTATCTTCAGGTGGTACTGGCCATGTCCAGCCACCCCTCACCCTGCAATGCATGCACCCTTTCTACCACCAGCACACGTCACAGGAGACTCACGCGCATCACTCAAACCAATCATACACCTGCTCATACACCTCATCATACACCTCGTCATACTCGGTCCATCCACGAGATTTGGCGCACTGAGTCAACCAATCAATACAAACAAAACCTCTACGAACCATGTGCTTTCAAACATGAGTCAACCAATCAATACAAACAAAACCTCTACGAACCATGTGCTTTCAAACATGAGTCAACCAATCAATACAAACAAAACCTCTACGAACCATGTGCTTTCAAACATGAGTCAACCAATCAATACCAACAAAACCTCTACGAACCATGTGCTTTCAAACATGAGTCAACCAATCAATACCAACAAAACCTCTACGAACCATGTGCTTTCAAACATGAGTCAACCAATCAATACAAACAAAACCTCTACGAACCATGTGCTTTCAAACATGAGTCAACCAATCAATACCAACAAAACCTCTACGAACCATGTGCTTTCAAACATGAGTCAACCAATCAATACAAACAAAACCTCTACGAACCATGTGCTTTCAAACATGAGTCAACCAATCAATACCAACAAAACCTCTACGAACCATGTGCTTTCAAACATGAGTCAACCAATCAATACAAACAAAACCTCTACGAACCATGTGCTTTCAAACATGAGTCAACCAATCAATACAAACAAAACCTCTACGAACCATGTGCTTTGAAACATGAGTCAACCAATCAATACCAACAAAACCTCTACGAACCATGTGCTTTCAAACATGATCGATCACTCACATTCTGTGAGTGTCCCAATGCATATTGAAATCAAAACAAGGTCAGATCAGCAGGAAGATATGTGATGGTGTCAATCTCTTACGCAGCACTAGTGGATCCATACCAGATGTTGCCATTCGTTGATCAAGACATACCAGAAAATTCAAAATGAATGTCACTCCCCACCGACCGCATGTTTCAATCGAGATAATACTTACGGTCTATCCAGCCCAATCCACACCAGTCCATCCCAGCGAAAACAAAAGAATCCCAAGATTACATGTCAACCATTGAAAATTACATGTCAGCCCTATCGTTCCCTGACCGCATCATTTCAATCAAGATGTTTACCGCCTATCCAGACCCAAATCAAGTCCATCCCAGCCACAAGAGACCAAATTGAAGCAAATCATGTCAGCAAATCATCTCCTGACAGCACATGCTTCAAACAGACAATTGCTCACCCCCTTCCCAAGAAGAAAGGACAATCCATGGTAACACGTAAGAGACACAAAGTCAAATGACGGCAACAAGGAGCTATTCAACTTACGCATTTTGTGCTGTCATAGGTACCAGGATCGACATTGATGATCTGCAGCATTTCGAGTCAGGTGGAAAAAGCAAGAGCAGGAGCCGCGAACACAAAGCAAGTGAATGATCAAAAGGAAAAGATGTACGGGAGTAAAGAAAGCATCTCAATCAAGTATGAGAGTGAAGGTAATAGCATCTCATCGCTGCTGTCTTGCCTTGCAGTCAGGACATTGCCACGGCATCGCCGACGAGCGGTGGGGAATGTGGGTGGGGATAGGTGGATGCGGAGACGAATATGAAGAGGTCACTGAAATGTCTAGGGGGTGGTAAACCCGGAATACCGGTGGTTCGAAGTTAACCCTGACACTACTGACCGGTGTGTATGAGATTTGCTAAAAAGGAGGGGTGGTTGGGTGTAGTGACACCGGTAAGAGTGTAGGGGTAATAGACGAATATGAAGAGGTCACTGACATGTCTTGGGGGTGGGTCTTAGGCTGGACTGTGGCCTGGAATACCGGTGGTTTCGAAGTTAAAACACTGACACTAAGTTAACTCTGACACTAAGTTAACACTGACACTAAGTTAACACTGACACTAATGACCGGTGTGTATGAGATTTGGTAAAAAGGAGGGGTGGTTGGGTGTATCCGTGGGAGCCAGCGTGACTCAGTGACATGCTGCGAAAACGAGTCAAACATGACGAAGAGAGAATCATGAGAAGATCGGGGAGAGGTGCAGCATAGTCGGCAAAATTCTTGATGAAACGCCGATGAAAGTTTGCCAGACCCAGAAATTGGCGAAGTTGTTTCACAGATGCAGGAGACGGAAAGTCTTCGATGGCAGCAACTTTGTTAGCTTCGGGTGCAATCCCATGCGCTGATCTGAGACGGTCTGAAGAAACATACACTTGCTCCGTTTAACGAAGACCTGGTGGTGGCGGAGGCGCTCCAGGAGGAGACGTACCTGCTGGAGGTGTGAAAGCCTGAGGAGTACCCAGCGAATAGAGCAAGACATCATCGACGTAGACTAAGATGGACCTTCAAGCGCAGTTCAAGAAGAACTCACGTTGGATTTCTCTACCAAGAGGGAAAGCGGTGAAACAGAAGGAGATCTAACTCTCTTTTATTTCTTTCTCACACACAGACACACAATCGTGGCACACACACGAAAGGGGAAGAGGACCACCTAGCTCTGACGAGTTTCATCCCTTTATAGCATCGAGGAAGGAGCCAGGAGTACCGTCTCTTGGCTAGAGAACTCTCGGGAAGTTGACAAGCATCCCCTCTGACCTTCGAGAGGATACCATGCCACTCTCTCGCAGGGAAGAGAACCCCGTCCTTGCATGGCAGCAAGCTGCTTCCAACGGGTCGTACTCCACAAGACGCACCCCTTCTGTTTACCTTGTAAGTCCCCCACGGGTTTTGTCTGACTCGGGCTCGGTTCCTATGAGCTCTGACAATTCAGACGTTGGCGTCAACGACCCAACAGACTCATTCTTCACCTCATTCAGTCGTTGACATGGAGAGCATAACAGCGATGGACATGCACTAGACTCTAAGATGACTGGCAACCAAGTCAGTGTAATGTTGCACATAGCCGCGAGTCATTCACATACAACTCGATTATAAACAATAATCCAGTACACATTTGTACCAGGTTTGGAAAACACTCATCATGATTTGTACTGTCCTGAAATGTGTTCCTGGTACCAAACTTTGTACTCAAACTTTAGTCAATAAATTTAAAACAACAAGGTCTGTTTATTATTTTTAAATGAGTTTTTCCTTATTATTTCCGTTTGATTGACTGAAAAAGGAGAATTGGGTATGAGGGGGATGATTTTCCCGCCACCTGCCCGTCGTCCATGCCCACACCGGGAGGAGAGGGGAGGGAGAGGGGAGGGGAGGGGAGGGGAGAAGGAAGAGAGGAGTGGAGAAGAGATGAGTAGAAGAGAGATGATAAGAGGAGAATGGGACGAGGAAGGGACGAGGACGAAATGGAAGGATGGGGTCACGTAAGAGATGCATAAGGGTTTGTCAGGTCTGCACGTAGCAGGACGGATGAAGTTGTCAAGTCTCGGTCGAGTTGATGGTACTTTAGGATTGAATGTTTCTTGCACTTCAGAGTGGAGCATGAGACATCTTCGTCGCGCTTGATCGAGATGGAGGACGACGACTACAACCTGAAAGACGAGCTTCTCGGTATGCCATGCTCTGTCCTCCGAGCCTCTGAGTGTTGGGACCAGCGGCATGTGCCCTGCTCGGCCGGCGAGTGGACCAGAACGAATACATCAAAGGGGAGGAGTGCGTGGAGACTCTCAAGGACCTGCAGCAGTTCTTACATCGCGATGATTCTGTGGGGGACATAGACCAACCCAACAGCGTCGACAGTCTCGGGAGAAGAGTCGCCCCTCGCGTGCCATGGGAGCTCCACAGAGCGCTCGCCGACTGGAATATTCTTCAGAACCATGTCCTCCCGCTCATCGCTAGTTACGCAGGCGATGACCCTGAGGTGCGACCGAGCTGCAGGAGGTGCAGGAGGTGCGGGGATGCTGACGGGCTGGGTAGATCTTGTACGAGTGCATGGTTGTGACGTACCTCATGACCTCCCTGCCTCCCCTCCCCATCGTGCACCTCGACGATGAGAAGGATGTCCGGGCTCAGAAGCACAAGGTGAGTCTGTCAGGAGCCGCCGCTAGCTGAACCCTTCAAGGTCTACGGGGCCGCTCTCGTCCCCGCCTTCGAGGCTCTTGCCATCTTCAAGGAGCAGTTCGCTAACAGTCAAGACGTCCTGACGGTGCCCGCGACCCTCCCCTGCCTCTTCTCCCCCCTCCCCTCCTGCGCGCTGCCCCTCCTGCCTCTCCTCCTCATCCTCGCCCCTCCTCATCCCCTCCTTCCTCATCACCGGCTGATGGTCCTCGCAGATCATCATGAAGTGGCTCATGGATCCCCTCCTGCACGAGGGCAGCGACCGCACAGAGCCCGAGATGCTCGTCCTCGACTTGGTCCTCAACCTCATAAGGTGCTCCTCACCCACCCACCCCCTCTCTGCACCTCCCTCCCTTCACTTCTTCCTACCCCCTTTCCATCCCCTACCCCTTCCTTTTCTCCTCTCCTTCCCTTCCCATCCCTTACCCCCTTTCCCTTCCTCCCACCACCCAGTACCCCCCTCCTTCCCTCTACCTCCTCATCTTCAGTATCGAACCAACTCTTTGTAGAAACCTGCTGCAAATGCAGCCTCCTGCTGGGTCCATGGTGGAGCTTCCCACAGCCTTGGTCGCGAAGCTGGCGATGGCGCAAGACACACTGATCTTGAAGATGGGTGAGGAGAGGAGAGGAAGGGGCAGCAGACGCTGACGGCACGGCAGCGGAAGAGAACGTGCTGGAGATGCTGATCCTACTGGCTCAACAAATCGAGGAAGAGGAGAATCGCAACTGGAATCTGCTGCTGCTGGACATCTTTGCACTCATCTTTGTAACGCGACCGACTCGCGCCATACATCGGGACTGAATCCTGGCAGGTGAAGGAAGATCCTACCGAGGTGCTTGCGAGCACGGAGATCTCGAGTGGGGATTGGCTGAACAGCATGAGGAGAGAGCTGCTTCTCAAGAGCATCCCAAAGGCTGAGACCAACACCATGCGGAAGTCGACTTGCTTCAGTCGGCACCAACGATTCGCAGGTTGAAGAGGCGTGTAAGAGATTCGAGGCGTGTAATGAGGGCTAGGTCTGTTTCAAGTGAAGACCAACGAGGAAGTCAAGTTTGTCAGCCACAAGATCGACGCCGTTCGATCCGAAGGCCCTCGCAAGACGTGAGGGTCTCCCCCTTCCCCCCTCCCGCCTCTGACTTCCCCAGCAGCATGCGAGCTGGTCCGCGACGGAAGCCGCTCATGGAGGTGCGAGTGAACAGGCAGAAAGACAGGAGCGACGTGCTCAAGACGTTGGACTCGTACGCCTCCACCTTCCTCGAGGTGATGACATCACTTCTACTCCTCCCTTGTGAACTCCCGCAGGTCGGCTTCAACTCGCTCCTCGGCACTGTGACCTACGACTACGCCATGGAGAGCGCGGCGCTGGTGGCGTCGGACGACTTGAACTTCGCGACGGTCAGCGCCTGGTTCCTCCACTACTTCCGCTTGAAGGAGAAGCGTCGCATCGCCAGCCTCCCTCCCCGCCCGAAGCCCAGCAAAGAGAAAGAAAGCCAAGAGGCTTCGCAGGCAGGGCTCACGGAGGAGCTCGTGCTTTCAGTCGCCAACGCGACGAGCAGCTCGGAAGCGAATCATGTCGAGAGCTACGTGAGCCAGTGCGTGGCTGCGCATGAGCATGGAGAGAAGGCGAGGGAGGAGACGCATGAGCATGGAGAGGAGGCGAGGGAGGAGACGCATGAGCATGGAGAGAAGGCGAGGGAGGAGAGCAAGAGCAAGGCAGGGGAGGACGCGACGGCCTCGAGCCTGTCGCGAGCAGACGAGGAGGGTCGCGTGGAGAGACAACTCAACTTTGACGAGGCTCAAGGGGAGGAGGCGATGAAAGAGCCCGCCTCGGAGGCAGAGCATGGTGAAGCGAGAGGAGCAGAAGCATCGCAGCCACATGGCGAGGAAGCGACGATGAAAGAGGTCATGACGGACAAGCATCAAGAGGCGGAGCAGGACGAGAAGGAGGAGGGGGGCAAGGAGGAGGAGGAGGAGGAAGTTGATCCCTACGACTACAACGCTGCTTTCGTCTCGTCGCTCGTCGACCTCTCGAACCTCCGGTGGGTGCTGGAGAAGATCAATGTGCTGATGAAGCCGGAGAGAGGCAGCGGGGGAGCCCAGCACCACAAGGTCCCTCCCTTCATCTCGATGCTGCGAGAGCTTGTGCTGACCGTTCAGTCACTCTACTTCTCGTACTCGAGGCACAACAAGGATGTGGCGAGTCAGCTGCTGAGGAACCTGGTCTACGAGTGGGACCTCGGCGACACTCTCCTGTGCATCATCAAGGACTTTCGCCCCTTCCGCAACACCCGCAGCCACCTTGCCGACGTCGTCGACCTGACCCACACGCTCCTGCGCCTCATCAAGAGCTTCTCTGAGGACAACCAGAACCTCCAACGGCTGAAGAAGCGGAGGAGGAGGAGGAACCGACGGGGAGTCGAGAAGGCTGAGGGCGAGGGCGAGTGGCTGGGCGGGGAGAGCGAGGAAGAGATCTTGGACGAGGAGTACCACGAGGTCATGTTCAACTTCAACAGCTACCTCAAGCGGTTTGCTCACCCTCAGGTCGTGTCGACGTACGTCCACCTGCTGTCTCACTACAGGGTCAACTCGGACCAGACGAACCATCAGGTCGTGAAGATGCTCGACGTGATCGCCCGCAAGTGCGAGTTCCTCCCCATGCTCTTCCAGCTCTCCGCCTTCCGCATCTTCGACAGGATCCTGAGCGACTCCTCGCTGGACGGCAAGGACAAGTACAAGGAGATGGTCAACTTCGTGCGGTGGATCGTGCGGGAGTTCTTCAAGCTCTCGCTCGTCAGCCCTTGTCTCTTCCTCGAGCTCCTCGCCTGGACGCGATCGGCCAGAGACGCCGAGCTGATCGCCAACGCCTACAAGCCCGTGGTGGAGGAGAGGAGCAGGAAGCCGGGCAAGGGAGAGGAGGCGATCCTGCAGCAGATCGGCAGGAGCGCAGGGAAGTGGACGGAGGACGACGACCTGGCACTGCGGGAGGCTCATCAGCAGTTCGGGTCCAAGGCCAACGCGCTGCAGCTGATCTCGATGCTCCTTGAGGGCAAGTCGGTCAAGCAGATCGCGCTGAGGATGAACAAGCTCGGGCTCGTGCGCGTCGGGCATGACGACTGGTCGGAAGGAGAGGAGGAGGAGGAGGAAGAAGACCTCTTCTCCTCTCGCCAGGACCTCTACACTTGTGCTCGCAGGCTCAGGAACGCGCGGCCGGCGGCTCTTGACTGGATCGTCGACAACTTGGCGCTGGCGTGTAGAGCGAGCGAGGAGATGCGGCTAGCGGCGGGGAGGAGCGAAGAGCGCGCGAGCTTCCTGCGCGTCCAAGACTTCTCGCTGGTCCCGACGAAGAGCGCGGAGTGGGAGCACGCGATTGACCCGCTCGTCTCGAAGCTCCTCTGCTCCATGCGCCTGCTCGGCCCTCGGCCAACGGAGGGTCACGCGTTCTGGCGGTTCCCCGCGAGCCTGCTGGAGGACGAGGAGCGCGCAGAGAAGATGCTGGAGGAGCTGCGGGGGGTGCAGGAGATTCCCGTGGAGGAGACGCGGCGAGCTGAAGTAGAGGCGACCCCTGACCCTCCCGCGAGGACGCAAGAAGACGCCACGTCATCGATGGCGACCCGGCCGAAGCGACGCGTGCGAGAAGCGACGTCAGAGTCAGAGAACGAGGAGGAGAACGGCAGGCGATACAACTTTAAGAACCTGTCGGAGGAGGAGGAGGAGGAGGAGGAGGGGGAGGAGAAGCAGGGCAAGGAGATGGAGAAGGAAGTAGATGAGATGGAGCTTGAGGGTGAGGAGAAGAAGGATGACCAGGAGGAAGGGGAGGAGGAAGAGGCAAGAGACATAGTCGCCCTCCCCCTTTCGCTCGTCGACAAGTTCCGCTCGGATCAGCTCGCAGGACGGAAGAGACTTCGTCGAGTCGCCTTGTCGGACGAGAGCGACAACGAGTGACGGGCGATTAAACCTTCTTCCTTGCTCTCACTGCTCCTCCTCCTCCTCCTCCTCCTCCTCCTCCTCCTCCTCGTCACCCCCTTGCCCCCCTCCCTCTCCTTGTCACCCCCTTGCCCTCCTCCTCCAGCTAGACTGATTGGACGCCTCAAGTTCACACAAGCCGGCGGACTTTGCGATCGACCTTGAGTAGCAAAGAACAGAGCGAGCACGAGAGAGCAGGGAGAACAGAAAGAGGCAGAGGCGGGGAGGAGGAGGAGGAGGAGGAGGAGGAGGGCGATGAGCCTCGTGAGCTGCGCGATCGGCTTGAAGGCGAAGGACTGGAGGCTGCGGGAAAGGGGGGCGGACATGGTGATGCTTGTCTGAGCAGGGAGACGACTGGGGCTTGAGTGAAACTAGGAGAGTTTAGAAGAGCTGCTAGGTCAGTCCAGGTCTACGCGGGTCTTGTGTGTGTGGGGGGGGGCGTTTAGAGATCTACTAGTCCTCCACCCGCCCTTCTCCTCTTCCCCAGGCTCTCCCCAGCACCTCTCCCACCTCTCCCCCCGGCATCTTCTCGTCAGGATGCATCCTCGTCCTCAAGTCTCGCGGAAAGAGGCTCGACGTCGTTGCGACCGCATGACTGTGTATGTACAAACCTACGAGAGAAGCTCGAGGGCAGGACGAGCTGGGGCTGAGGAGACAGACAGCTTGTCGTCCCTGTTAGCGTGCGAGGCAGAGGGCGTGGTGACCATCAGACTATCCCCTTCCCTCCGAACCATCCCGCTTCGTCCCTGCGCGTTCAGACATGTGCGGTCAGACATCATCCAAGGATACGGCAGCGAGAGCAGCACCGGCAGTTGTAGTCTTGCCCTGGCTTTCCAAACCAGCATCCCTCAGCGTAGCTGTAGAGCCACAACCCGCACTCATCGCTTCTCCTGCAGCACTACCGACAGACCAGTCAGAGAGAGCAAGCGCAAACTTCTCCTCCACCTGATCCTTGCAACTTGCTGGGGTCCAGGCGGGGTCAGGAGCTCGAGTTAGCCCGAAGCAGCGCTTGCCGGTGAGATCTTCCCCGAACCTGCTCAAGTTGCTTGAGACCCTTCCTTGCACTTCTCCCTCCTTCTCCCTCTTCCTCCGCACCTGCATGAGCTACCCCTTCTCGTCTGCTGCTGTCGTCCCTGAGAGCTGCTGGGGGGAGGAGCGGAAGCAGGGGCAGGAGGAGGAGGAGGGGGAGGAGGAGGGGGAGGAGATGGAGAAGGAGAAGGAGCAGAGGCTTGAGGAGAAGCCTGAGCTTGTTGTCCTTGCGAACTCCAGCGACGCGTTCCATCGGTCACGTCCTTGCACCGGCTAACCCTCCACGCATGGATCTGACCATGAACGAGCGAGACGGTCAGCGAGGAAGAGCTTGTCAAGGTTGAGAGACCTTGGTCATGCCGAGCAGCTCCATCATCTCGTCCTGTGACATCAGCTGCGAGTGTTTTCAGAGTTTGTCATCCCCCTCGCCACTCGTACCGAGAGCTCGTACCCGACGACTTTCTCCCGTTTGATGATGTCGATCGAGTCGGAAGCGATCTGATTGCACTGCAGCCACTCGAGAGTCTCTGCCAGGTTGAGCTGCCGCAGTGGTTTGCCGTCAATGTTGGAGCAGCAGCTGGCGGGCGACGGTTTGCTTCCGCCTCCTTGAGCGGCTTGAGGACAACAAGGAGTAAGACAGCAAGGTAAGCTACCTGTCTTCGCTATCCTGCTAATTCCAAGACTTTCCCTCCAACTCTACCCGATAATATTCCAATCCCGTTATCCAATCGTCATCTTTCCATAACCAACTCAAACTATGGGGGTTTCACTTCCAGGATACAGCAATTCTTTTGAGTACCCGCTGTCTGCCGTCGCGAAACGACGCTGTCTTGCTTTTCAACTTTGATGTCGACTTGAATCGATTTATCCTTCATCGCATTATTTGTGTCTCCTGTATCTGAACTTCTCTCCCATTCAAGCTCAAGCTCGCTCCCTGTCTTGTTCCTTCATGCTCCCTCACATGTTTCTTTTCTCCTTGCTTCATTTCACCCGCCCTCACCCAACATCCTCCACCTGCGATGCTGCTGCCCCTCCTCTTCTATCTCCTCCTCGTCTATCGCCTCCTCGTCCTCCTCCTCTTCCTCCTCCTCCTCCTCCTCCTCCTTACCTGCTGCCACAATCATCGCCGCCAGCACGACGACCCGGACCAGCATGGCAGAGGATTTCCCTTCTTCACTACACCCCCTAAAAATTCTCATAACCCCTACACTCAGATGAGTACCCCCTCTGACGACCTTATAGTACCCACCATTTTATCAATATACTACCCCATTATTTATACCCCTACCCACGTGGTTTGCTCTCCACCCCTTGTCTGCGGACTTGTCCTGCTGGCAAGAAGGTTTCAGGTTCATAAACTTTCAAATTTAACAGAAACATTTCAATTATCATTTCAAACAAGAAGACAAAAAGTTTCAAATATAACCTCATAAATTGAAAATTACTTTGATAATTTGAATACATTGTGATAACCCGTGGAAAAAGATATGGCAGGCTTCATAGAGGGGGTAGGGGTGTGTAGCATCGACGCAATATGAGTGGAGGGGTGGTCAAATACATTTCGACATCAAACAGGTGAAAGAGGTGGGTACTACGAGGGCAAAGAGGAGGTAGGGGTACAGATACTTGAGGGTGGGAGCGGAGGTAGGGGCCGATTGTATGGCGTGAAGCAGAGCGGCAAACGCAGCAGCAGCAGAAGAAGCAGCAGCAACAGGAGGAGGTACAGCAGCAGGAGAACAAGCAAGTTCCATCCTCTCTCTCTTCCCCTCTCACTTACAATCTCATCCCCTCCCCCCTCTTCTCACTTCACCACCACTGCAACAACTATTCCCCGTTCTCTACCCTTCAAGGACCTCCAAGAATCCGACTGGCCCCCTGCATGCCTGGAGCGAAGAGCCTCTCCTAGACTCTCCTTCCAAGCTTCACTCAAGCCCCAGTCGTCTCCCTGCTCAGACAAGCATCACCATGTCCGCCCCCCTTTCCCGCAGCCTCCAGTCCTTCGCCTTCAAGCCGATCGCGCAGCTCACGAGGCTCATCGCCCTCCTCCTCCTCCTCCTCCCCGCCATCCTCTCGCATCCGCTGGCCTCCACCAGCCCCTCCCGCCTTTCCGCCGGAGGCCTCATCAACAGGTGCCTGCGAGTGCGAGGAGGAGGCGGGGAGGTGGAGGAAGAGTATCCTTCGTTTGTCAAGGAGAGGCATGAATTCAACCACGTCATTCGCATCTTCAACACCAACATTGACGGCACCAGAAACGTGAGCGAGCTGCCTCGCGAATCTTCGCATCTCTCACGCGCTTGTGCTTGCTTGGGCAGGTGCTGTACGCCCTGACGATGATCAAGGGGATCGGCCGTCGGTTCGGAGACGCGGTGATCAAGCGAGCAGGCATCGCACACTCGAGGCTGGCAGGAGAGCTGACCGCCGAGGTCTCCTCCTCCTCATCCTCCTCATCCTCATCATCATCATCCTCTTCATCCTCTTCCTCCTCTTCCACACCCCCCCGCCTTCCCGCTGCCACTCACTTTCTGCTGCCGCCAGGAGGTCGAGAAGATCGTGCAGGTTGTGGAGAACCCCAAGCTCTATGACATCCCATCGTGGATGCTGAACCGGTCACTCCTCCTCCTCCTCCTCCTCCTCGCACTCACTGGGTCGTGCTTGCAGGAGGAAGGATTATAAGACCGGCCTGGACCTTCACAACACAGTGAACAAGCTCGACTTCCAGCTGCGCGAGGACCTCGACAGGTCTGTAGGCGCCGAAGACGCAGGAGGAGGAGGCAGCTGACGCTTGGTCGATGTCTCTCCTTCAGGCTGAGGAAGATGCGAGTCCATCGCGGTCTGCGACACGCGTGGGGATGGAAAGGTGAGAGAGGGAGGAGGAGGAGGAGGAGGAGGTGATTATGAGAGGAGGATAAGGAGGACGTGTTGACTGGAGAGTGTGACGAGGCTCTTGTTGCTTGCAGTGCGAGGACAGCACACTAAGACGACAGGACGAGGTGGTCGATGCGTCGGCGTGCTCAAGAAGAAGTGAGGGCTCGGAGTGGCGTCATCGGGTGAAGAGGAAAGCGAGGTCCTCCTGCGACAGCTGCGGCAGCGTGAGAAGCGAAGAGCAGGAGGAGAGGAAGGAGGGGGAGCAAGCTTCTTCACCTGCATCATCGCCGAGTCCTCTCCATCGATGGTGCCCGACACGATCTGCCATGGCCGTCAGCTGGGGAGGCTGGTGGAGGAGCACCCGACCAGCTGCTTCTTGCGCTGCAGCTCCATTATCCTCTCCTCGATGCTGTCGGATACTATGAACCTTGTGGCGAACACCTTGAACCGCGTTACTCTCCTCCCCCTCCCCCTCCCTCTCCAATTCTGTTCTCCTCTCGAGTCGTGTCTCCGCTCCTCCTGTCTGCTCCCGTCGCTCACCTGCCGCGTCTGTCCTATCCGATGAGTTCGGTCGATGGCCTGAAGCTCAGCCGCGGGGTTCCACCAGCTGATGAGGGCGATAAGTTGAGGGCGGGGGAGGAGAGGAGGGAGGAGAAGAAGGGGGGGGGGGGGAGCGAGGGGCTGGGGGTTCATACGGGTCCACGATGAAGACATGGTTGGCTGCCTGAAGGTTCAAACCTTCTCCTCCTGCTCGCAGGCTGATGAGAATAGCCTGCAAGTCAAGTCAAGTAAAGCCCCGCCACCGCCTCCTCCCGCTCCTCCTCCTCCTCCTCCTCCTCCTCCTCCTCCTCCTCCTCCTCCTCCTCCTCCTCCTCCTCCTCCTCCTCCTCCTTCACCGCAGTCTCAGGGTCTTCGTTGAAGGCCTTGAGGTTGAGGTCACGAGCCGCTCGCGGCATGTCGCCAGTGAGTCTGACGCACTTGAGGGGGGTGGAGGAGGAGGCGAAGTAGTGCAGGAGGAGGTCGAGCATGCGCGTAAACTGAGAGAAGATGACAGCCTTGTTCCTCTTGTCCTTGCGAAGCTCCTCGAGCTCTTCCCGCACCTACTCCCTCGTCATCTCTCCTCCTCCTCCTCCTCCTCCTCTTCCTCCTCCTCCCCTCTTTCTCATTCTACCGCTTTCAGCTTCGAACTCGGACGAAAGTTTTGCAAGTCGATCTGTCGAAGGATCGACTTCTTCTTCGCTCTCTTCCTCTTCTCAAACCTGCGCACTCAGTGAGACTCCTGCTCTTCCTCCTCCTCCTGCTCTTCCTCCTCCTCCTCCTCCTTTCGCTGCTGCTCCTCCTTCCCTCCCCCTCCCCCTCCTCCTACCCGCTGGCATTGACTCGCAGGTCAAGGGCGAGAGCAGCCTGGCAGGCAGGACAGCGAAGAGGCAGCATGTCATCCTCAAGGTTAAGAGGCTGCTGCTGCTGCTGCTGCTGCTGCTGCTGCTGCTGCTGCTGCTGCTGCTGCTGGTGAGGAGGAGGAGGAGGTGGCGAGCTGTCGGTCGAGCTGTTGGTCGAGCTGTTGGTCAAGCAAGCTCTGTGGAAGCTATGCTCGCACTTGGTGCGGACCGGCTCCTCGTCCTGCAGGAAGAGCTTGAAGCACTTGTCGCAGTAGGAGGAGGACTGCTGCTCGGGGAGGGAAGAGTGACGGGAGAGGAGCGCGAGGAGAGGATGGTCGCACGCCTGACGCATCCGAGCAAGGAGCTCGAAGACGTGGGCGTAGTTGTGGAGGAGGTTGCCGTGCTCGACAAAGGTGTCGAAGGTCTCGCGGGTCTCGAGGAAGAGACTCTCGTAGAAGGCTCGCTCGTCCCTGCTCAACTGCAGCATCCTCGTCTTCACCTCCTTTCCCTTCAGCTTCACTTCCTCCCTCCTCTCCTCCTTGGTCCGTCGCAGCATGACCCGTCCCAGCACCTCCTTCCTCAGCAGCTTCATCGCCATCCTCCCCTGCCCCACGAACCCGAACCGGAGGATGGGATTGAGCACCCACTTGTTGAAGTAGGAGAAGTGCCGCAGCGGCGAGTGTCCGCAGCTCTCGCACCTCCTCCTCTCCTCCCCGAACTCCGGCTGCACCTCGCAGCACTCGCACTCCTTCACCGAGCAGAAGAAGCAGGCCCAGGGCTGCCAGCGGAGGAAGCGGAGGAAGGAGACGAGGTCCCCCAGCCGGTTCTGCAGGGGGGTCCCCGTGAGGCACCAGCGATGCTGAGCAGGGAGCGCGTGAGCAGCCTTGGAGGTTCCGGTCGTCCTGCTCTTGATCCTGTGCGCCTCGTCCAGCACCACCCGGTACCACTCGACCTCATGCAGAGGCGACGCCTTGGTCCTCCTCTCCTCCTCCTGCGGCCCTGCCTCCTGCTCCTCCTCCTGCACTCGCCGCTGTTGCATCGACTGTCTCGTCGCTTCCTCCACATCGCCTTCGGAGGAAGAGGAGAGGCAGGAGGCACGCGGCTCGAGCGAGGCCTCCCTCAGCACACGCGTGCTCGAGCCTTCGCTAGGGCTGGAGACCGAGGAGGCACAACGAGGGACAAGCTTACGAGGATGAGGAGGAGAAAATTCCGTCTTCTTCCTCTTGCTGCTGGAACCCTCTTCCTCCTCCTCCTCCTCCTCCTCCTCCTCCTCCTCCTCCTCCTCCTCCTCCTCCTCCTCCTCCTCTCCCTCCTCCTCCTTCAAGGTTGCCTCCTCCTCTCCCTTCTTCGTCGCAGCCGCCGCCAGCTCTTTGTAGATGTTGAAGGGGGTAGGAGGAGAGGACCCGAGGATCAGCTTCGACTTGATCTTCACCCTCTTCCTCTCCCGCAGCTGCAGCCGCTGCGTGCGAACGGCCGAGGGGCCGCAGAAGTAGCGGTTGTGGAGGAGAAGAACGCGGGGGAGGAAGAGCTTGCGGCAGAAGCGGCAGGCGACTCGATGGCAGGACGCGCGCCAGTCAGCCTCGAGGACGGAGAAGGAGGTGACGACGACGTCGAAGGAGGAGAGAGCAGAAGCTGGCAGGGCCGAGCGATCCGATCCATGCCAGACGAGGACAGAGAGCGAGTTGGGGAGGGTGCGGCTGGTGATCTCAGCCTGCCACTGACTCATAGCAGAGACAGGACAGACAACCAGCGTCCCTCCTCTCCTCTTCACTCCTCCTCCTCCTCCTCCTCCACTGCATCCCGATCCAACATCGCTCTCTCCTCCTCCCTCCGCCGGCTGAGTCCGCGCCCAAGCTCTCGCCTTTTCCTTGCGGTGCAGGAGCAGGGCGATAGTCTGGATGGTCTTACCCATCCCCATCTCGTCAGCGAGGATGCCTCCTTTCACCTCTCCCTCCTCCTGCTGCTCCATCCACCACAGCGACTCTCGTTGGAACGGCAGCAGGTCCACCGCCAGCTCCCTGGGCGTCTCAAGCACACACGACGACAGGTCGACCTTCTCCTCCTCCACCTCCTCCGCCAGCTCCTCGTGCTTCGGCATCGTCTCACGCCGCAGCTCCTCCTCCAGCTGCTGCCTCTCCTCCTCCTCCAGCTCGCTCAGCCCCTCCACCCATCCCTCCAGCTCGGGGCACTCGCTCGTGCCCAGCCTGCTGCAGTCCACGTGCTGCCAGCCAGTCAAGACGCCTCCTGCTCCCCGACGGTCTCGCAAGGGAAACCCGACGCGAACCTCCTCCTTGCCGATGCTCAGCCCGCAGAAGCGACACTTGGACCGCTGCGACCTGCTCCGCTCCACCACCGCCACATGCCCCCGTCCTCGTCCTCCCACCGCCTCCCATACCCGCTCCTCTCGTCGGTAGACGTGCGTGGGGAGGGAGTCGGAAGGGATGAAGGGAAGACGAGACTGAGCTGGAGGAGGAGGAGGAGGAGGAGGAGGAGGAGGTTCTCATAAACCTGTATGACGCAGCTTCTCATCTGCTCGCTGCTGCTGCCCCTCCTCTTCTTGCTGATCTCCTCCTCCCCTATCTTCCCCAGCCCGTCTCCCGCTGCCTCCCCTGAAGGAGGAGCCTGTTTGCTCCTCCGCTCTCAAGGTTTTCACGAGACTTGTTGGCTCGGCATGAAAGAAGGGGAGGAGGAGCTATAGATAAGCGGTGAGAGGCGCTGGAACTCTAGAGAAAACATGAGCAATCCATGCGCAAAACTTTGATGAAGCAGCGCGGCGACGACATGGAAAGGAGAAGAGAAGGGAGTGGGGAGGAAGAGAGCAGGAGAGGACAAAGAGGAGAGGAGGAGAGGGAGGAGAGGAGGAGAGGAGGAGAGGAGGAGAGGAGGAGAGGAGGAGAATCTTGATCAGAATGTGCAGATACGATGAGATTGCCATACCATCATGCCTTTGTTGCGGATTGCAACGTGGCTTCAAGCTTCTGAACAGTACCTACTAGGGTTACGAGATGCTGCGCTTCCATGATGATGGCATGCTGTCTCCAGACTTGCCCTCCTCCTTCAGGCGTTAAAGATCTCGCTGAGCAACGAC